CTTGGTCAGTACCTAGACGATTAAACTCAGGGGAATACCAAGTGTTTTAAGTTTGGATATGCGGGTGTCATAATAAATAACGGCTTGGAATTTAAAATCAGAGATCTGGGTTTCAATTCCAGTCGGGCTTGTTATATTCACTTACATGCAAATACCCTCGGGAGTGATTGAAACCTGTGAGTCTTGACTACCCTCCTTCGAATATTGTGGGCTGACGCTACATAATCACAAACAACTGTAACAGTTCACAGAAACGAGACCACTTGAGGAATTTCAGTAGCAGCAACACGTAAAATGGATAGCACATATAACTCGAAGAGATAATGACATAATCAAGATTTTAACGTTCCACAGTACTTCAAATAAAAGTTTAGGACGGAATCCCTCATTAATCCTTTGAGCCCTGACCACTGCTTTACCGGTGGTAAAGAAAAATTATTTAATGCCAAGCCACCGGTTGAACGGTGGGTAGAGACTTGCGTCGTGTTTTGCTATTCTTGTGCATCAAGAGGGGCAGCACCTGCTGGGTAGACTGCCACACAAAGAAAGAATTCTGACGATAAAGTGAAGGCATGTAATCATACTCTCTCCCTGCTAAGTATAATGATTATATTTTTTGTAACTATTTTTATATCTACCATGAAACCTTATTTACCAATTATTTGCGAATTTTGACTCAGGTGCTCAAGCAGAAGGGTTAAAATTGTTTAAAAACGCAGGGCTCAAAAGGTTAATACTGGAAAGAATGATAACATCTACTGGATTTAAGAAACCTGTTTTCGTAACAAACATTGTTTCAAACGTCGGCAAGCACTGATAGCTCTGTCAATAAATACAGAATATTTCCTTATAAGGAAACGTCTAATGTTACAATAACCATGTATGTTAAAATGTTTGAAAAGTAAACAATGTATTTCCCTGCTATGGAATAAAATAAAATCACGACTGAATGATCAGAAACTGCGTCTAGTTTATCAATTCGTCTATGAGACAATGTATTGTTTATAGTTCACTAGCAGGCTTCAATCGTTTGCTGTCGCTTTTCAAAGTAAGATATATTCATTACTTGAAATCTTTGAAACAAAAATTTTAAATGAACATTTCATTCATAAATTGGCGTGTTATACTTAAGGAAAGTTTTACAAATAGATGCCAACTTGTTGAAGACTAAATAAAATGCAAATTTCAAACACTTTTCTGCACTATAAAAGACCATATTCCCAAACAGAACTATTTTTGATATGAAAATCAAATCAATCTTCGAATAAAAAATTAATTAATGAAATAAACTTTTTTAAGTCAATATGCAAATTAGTTAAACCTGAAGAGTGATGTTGCCTATAAGTAGCTAATATATAATACAGATTTGAGCTTTTTGAGTAGGTACACATCATCTCTCAGTTGCGTCTCTGTCCTTTGACAGAGTGCGCTCAGAGGTGCCGGCCCTGGGGAACAGCTGCCCGAGGCCGCGCCTTCTCATTGCACTAAAGAGAAGAAGGCTCGGTGCACGCGCGGTTGCGGGGGCTCGGGGAATTTTTGTTCCTTGCCCGGGTGCACGCGCTCGGGATCCCCACATTAAACCGACATTGTGTCACAACCTGACCTCATGGGGGCTTGAGTAAATATCTACTTATCATCTCTCAGTTGAAGAGGTGCCCATCCCTGGGGAACAGCTGCCCAAGGCCGCGCCCTCCCATTGCACCAGAGGGAGGGATTGGTGATTGCATCGAGGCCAGCGCAACCGACGGTTGCGAGGGCTGAGGGGAATTTTTGTTCCTGTCCCGGGTGTACGCGCTCGGGTCCCCACCTAAAAATAGACCTTGTGTCACATCTCGTCTTAGTGGGGGGACAAAGTAAATACCGTATAAATTACTATAAAGTAGGGCTGAGGCTTTTTAATCTCAGAATTCGTGAGAGAATTGAGCTCCAATTTCGCATTTATTTATATAGATTCCATAATATAGGTTTTAATCAGTTACTGTGTTTGTCTAACTCTTCAAATGTTGAATGTATAACTAATTCTAATTTCCATCTTTGCACTATCTTAATTTTATCTTATAAATTGCCCCCTGTTCTGTCACCCCTGAAATAAAAACAATTGTCTGTAAGGAAAATAAGGATCTACGTACATCAAATTATCTCTAAGTGGCAACAGAAGAATTATCGTTGAACTTTTCAAAGGTAAGTTTAAAAATTAATTCAATACCTAAATGCAGCGATCAATTTTGAGTTCTTCTATAGTTTATTGATGCCTATCGCATCTACTCCTCCCTAGCTATTGTGATGATGGCCAAACCAAGAGTCCTCCCCAAAAGCTACCTTAAATGCCGCCCGAGAAGTCGTCTTTTAAGCTAGCTTAATATTTTAACTAGCTTAAAATTTTAAGGTAGCTGAAATTTTGGATACAAAAGGAAAATAAGAGTTAGTCTTCTTGAACCATGAAAGCAACGATAATCGCTATATATATTTTTAAATTCGCATAATCTGGCAACCTGGGAAATCTGAGCTCAACGAAAATCGTTCACTGTGTCTAACTTTTATAGGGCTTTTGAATGAGCTATGAATCATTGAAATCGGACAAGTCGGGGGCGGTGGAGTTGCTTGGACACATACGCCCAAACACACCCACATACACTGTACTTTATATATAGAGAAGTTGCAAAGAGAGAATTTGGATTCCTCATAAGCTTTCACTTGAGAACCGAAGACAACGTTAAATCATCTGCAGAAGTATTTTAACCAGAAATTCCAGTCATTCTAGGACTAGGAGAATCTGATACTCACAGGTCGAATGCAGGGAAAGAGAGACAAGGGAAAGCAACGCGTGAAATACCTGGCGGGCTTATGCAAGTGGACGACAGAACATGGTCTGGGGGAGGTAGCAGAGGGACCAAGCTTAGTGAGATCTACAATGGATAGAGGGGAGTGGAAAGCCATGATCGCCTACGTCCTGAAAGGACACGGCACATAAAAAGAAAGAAATACATAACTCACACCGTTTGCTGTCTTTTTTGCTGTCAACTATGCGTCATGTCTTTTTACAGTGTAGTTAGTCCTTTCTTCTTGCTTTCCATTACTATCTCATTCAAGAGTTCTTTCAGTTTTCCTAATAGCTGGACAAGACTTATTGAGAGCTACAATAGGGAGAAATGGAGAAACATGATCGCCTACGTCCTAAAGGGATATGGCACATAAAAAGATGTCAACAGAAAACAAATAAAAAAAAACAGTTTATCACAAAATGAGAAACTAGTGATGACACCAAAACCAGGACTCCAAACACAGAAGAGTTCCTTGCTTTGTATCTTGTGGAATATGAAAGGTATCGTCCATTCGGAGCCCGAATAAACTTAAAGATAAGCTTTATTCCACTTTATCGATAATATTTAACAGCACCCCCCACGAAGGATGTATGTGGCACAAGGTCGAGTTTAACGTGGGTTCTCCGAACCCGTAGGCTCGGCCAAATATATTCCTTTCGAACCCGTATAAACGGGTTCAGGGCCTGTCTACCTCCCCGGGCGAAACTTTGCCCTTCGGCAAAGCCTCGTCCGAGTTCCTCTCTGCCAAAGGCAGAGAGTTCGACAGTTGAACAGTTTGGAGCACTGTTCCATTCCACTTTATTGATACATGTGGGGGAAAAAATCAACTGCTTATATCTACAGTCGACTGTTCCATTCTCAACAGGGGTGGAAGAGAGATCTCATTTACTTCTGGATATTATATTCTCCTCCACCGACCTACTTATTCGTCATTGAGGTTAGTATGCCGTAAACCAAACCAAATATAATTTGTACTTTTTCTCCAAATTCTTTATCCAATATTAATTCAAACCTTCATCTCTCTAGATGCTTCGCTATATATACTAGCATTCTTTTCTCGATTGCTTAAAGGAATAAAAATTGAATGCGCTGAACCAATGTGGCGATATTTAGTGGAGAAAATGACTTACTTTAAACGAAAACGTGAAGGAGTATATGTAATGTCATCGGGAAGTGATTAAAAGAGCCAAAACTTTGTCTATGCATTCTGGGTACAAATGTCGTCAGTGCTAGCATGACACAGTGATATTTGATTCATTTATCGCACCCTGTTAGAATTTTTCTGTATACATTAAAATCATTAGGCGCCATCATTGTAGGAATATCAAAAGTGTAATTCACAAGACAATTCAACGGTTTTAGCATAAAAATATTTTGCCGAAACCAGCAGCTATTTTATTTTTTATTTTTCTATGCGCCGTTCCCCTTCAGAACGTGGGCTATCACGGCTCTCCACAACTTCCTGTCTTTTGTAGCTCTGACTAAGTTTTGTCTTTTTTCTATATCTCCTACTCTCTGTTCTGCCAACAAGCTCGTTAGGATATCCAATGTTTTCCTAACTAAATTGGAGACCGTAAAGATGCTGTTAAAAATTATTCTTATACAATTATGTTTTCGGCTTTAAATAACGCATTAAGAGTTAATAAACCGTAAACCAAACTAATCTCCAGATATTAGTAAACATTAGTTTTCTGCCGATGACATTGCCACAACTTCTTATGATTTTTAGCTGTTTCCAAACACTTTCAGTTCACGTTTTGCAATCCACTTATACAATTCCGTTAGGTATCTTACTGTTTCCACTCTGTCTTTCTTTTCTGAGGACGGAAACCTGGAGGATGGGCAGTTTATGACCCGGGTCTGTAAGAAGTCATGTGACAGGCATTCCTCTTCTTTGGTCTTGCGTGTAGTGAAAACAGAAAGCCCGAATAAACTTAAAAATAAGCTTATATTTTGTTTCTTTATATTTTGTACGCGACTTTATTTTATTTTTGGAGGTAATAATGTTTTAGTGATACAATTATTGCTAATTAACCCATAAATTATGGAGAAGGGGTGGATTGATATCTTTTCCAAAGGTATTTGCTTCTGAGTATAATGAAACCAACTGAAACTGGAACTCGGATCTCCGATTAACAATTCCGAACCATTATCTATTACACCACCCGTACATCCAAGCTGGTATTCCGATGCGGTCACCCATACTAACCAGGCTCGACGTTGCTTAACTTCAGTGATCGTACTGGAACCGGTGTTTCAAAGTGATATGGCCGTAAGCCGCAGAGTCCTAAGAAACAAAGAAACTGCCATCAATGTTCAATGTATAATAATTCCCAAAATCTGCTCTGAGAAAATAGCATTCAATTTGCAAGTACACAGTAATTATTTTCAACCTCCAAAATATCACCAGTGTGTGTCCTTTAATCTACTCTTCTCACTAGGCAGTGAAATGTGGGATAGAAGATAGATCCCTACTCACCCAACTAGAATCCAGATCAAGGCTCTCCGTAAATATTTTCCTTTGTAGTTCTCAGCAATGTTAGCCGATTTATCATCCCTCTTTGTCTCCGCTGTGTCATCCATTCGCAGAAACTCGTTAGGTGGTTTACTCACTGTTGCCCTCTCTGTTGCCTACAATATGTCATGTGAGTATGAAATTCGCCAAGCTCACTTTCCTCATTATGTGCCCCAGAAATTTCAAAACTTTTTTTTTTTAATTAAAAGTGTCCTTTTACTTTCCATTTTCCTTAAAACTTCCTCAGTGTTTATATGTCACGTCCATGATATTCTCAGTATCATTTTGCTTAAAGTCCTTTCTTTGTCTATGGGGAGGGAATTGTTCGGCATTCATTGCCATATAATAGGGTTGGTATTACATAGAACTTCAACACTCTGTTTTCCTTGTTTATAACGAAATCGTCCTGTCCCTTAATACTTTGCTTTGTTTCTGGAAGGCATCTTTCGATATTCTATTGCACCTTTGAATTTGTATGTCACATTTTGTTATCTGTTACTGCTCTAATTAAATTTCAGCCTACTAAAATGGCTTCGGGGAATGTCCCGCACCAAAAGACGGCAATGATGTTATTAGTTCATTTCAGTAAAGATTACAAATAACTCCCAGTAAGGATTGAACTCACACCACAAGAGAACTAGTCTGCGAGAACCACATGCTAAGCATCACGTTACGTCAAACACACTGAGTGCTCTAACGTTTGACAAAGATCTGGTTAATGTTTTAATTTGTTCAATAGTGTTGTAAACTATAATTAGTATTCACTATTATTTCTCTAGTAGTTTAGCCTTAAAGGTAAGGATTAATGGTATCTACCTGTTCGCCCACGGCGCAATCAGATGTGGCACAAGGTCGAGGCTTAAAGTGCATCTCTCGACCAAACCGAACAAAAATTCCCAAGCTCCTTCGGCAGCGGACAATAAACCTAATCATCCCGACGGAGAGGTACTGCCTGGGAGCAAAGCCCCCTGTAGCTTGGGCTAACATTCAAAGAACACGAATCTCAATCAAAAGGTCAGGATTACTTTAACCTCCAGCTGTATCAACTGCTATCTATATAGTGGAAATTTGCATGTCTACAACAAATAGAACAGAGTCATTTTTATTAAGTTTTTTTTTTTTTATTTTATTTTTATAGATGATTGCCAGACAAAAGTTGTTGAACCAAACTCCTGAAAGAATATCATGTACGCAGTGAAACCAGCCCGATATATTAACCAGGCACTCTTTTAAGTGTATTTCAGAATATTTGCTTTCGTTTTTTTTTTTTTATTATTTATTTATTTTAGATGGTGGGAGAGTAATTCCACGTAATTGGGCTCAAATCATCTCATCACACGCCCTTCAAAATGGCTAACAGCCCTATACTCTCCTGACGCCAGCTCTCAGCTTTCGCCTCTACGGCAATAAATCATCATGAAATCAAAATTACACCAACATCCGGTTGCCAGTAAAATAAGAAATATTAAAAACGAAACAAAACAAAACAAAACAAATATTGTTTTAAAAAATAGAATAACAAAAAAAAAAAAGTTCTGTTTTAATGAGAATAGTATCATCGTATCAGACCGTCTTTTCTTTAAACTTCGGTCAATGTATACAGGGTTAAACAACGTTAGTCAAAACTAGTTAAAACGAAGAAACTTCTACTTCGAATCGGAAAGAGACAGTTGAAATGGAGGAAAGACGGCTTGGAGAATCTGACACTCACAGGATATACTAAAGATTAGAGGTACACGGGGAAACAGCGGGTAGTTTATCATCGTAAGTGGATGGCAGAACAGGAAGTGAGAGACATAGTAAGGGGACAAAAGACAGGAAAATACAAGAAGGCGACAAGTAGCTAAGACAAAATCTACAACTGGCCAACGTTTTACATGAAGTGGATAGATTATGTTGAATCAATTGCTAGATTTCCTTCTAGGAAAGTTGGTTTACTGTGTCGTGCTAGACAATTTTTCTTACTGGAATTTATCTTGCACATTCTATAAATTTACAATTTCTCGATAAATTTATAATTGCTGCCTTATCTGATCTGGTGCTTCTGCCATGTAACTAGTGATTCTTAACAAAAAAACTCCAAATCACAATATGTAATGTCGTCGGTCCTGACCTCGCATCTTAGCTTCAGTTACTTTTCCACCGTCTTAACCTATGTTCACTGTGCCTTTTCTATAAATATTTCATGATAGTTGTCCTAATGAGTCCTCCTCTTTGGTACCTCGAATTTAAGCGCAGTACTAGATTGGCAGATAGGTCTCATCATTTTACACTTGAAATTACTAGATGCAATCGTAAGTTCTATTCTAATGGTTTTTTCTGTTGTGCTCTCTCTCTCTCTCTCTCTCTCTCTCTCTCTCTCTCTCTCTCTCTCTCTCTCGTCTTCTCCTAGCCAGTCGGCGAAATGTTTTTGAGTCCAGGGATAAAAGAAATAAACAAAGATAATTTGTACTTATCTAGTTTTATTAACGTTCATGTCGACATGAGCGATATATCCAGTGGAGGGTGTAGTTCCTACTCCACTTGGGAGTCGTTCTCCACGAAAGAAAACTCGTCTACATTGTTTGACGGCTAAGAAACAACTCTCTGAAAACCCTTTCTCTATACCAATCATTCACACGCTGGCTCGGCCAATCCAAATCGACTTCCTTGTTTAGTCTTCTATCTGACCTCGACGATCAACTTCAGGGAGTTCGGGCACAGATACCATTCCCCCTAAAAGTAATAGTCTGCTAACCTATTATTTAACACTTCTCTCGCACTTCTCACCTGTGGAACTCTATTCCGGCTTCTTGATTTTCTGTTTACTATGACCTTCAAAGGTTTAAATGCAATATCAGACGCCATCTTCTATCTCTTTGAATCCTGGTCTTTTATTATTTTCTCTCTCTCTCTCTCTCTCTCTCTCTCTCCGGGTTTCTCACTAACCACTTACGTCTTAGTGGCCGTATCGCCTTGCTTGAGTTGATAAGAGACAGAACATTCATAATAAATAATACATAAATATAAAAGTAATAATACTTGCGACATATTAGGTAATTTGTAAGCTGCTGATAAGAAGAAAAGACTTGAGGCAACAGAAATGTGGTTCTACAGAAGGATGCTGAGAATACCATGAACTGAACATGTAAGCAACGACGAAGTATTAGAGAAAATAGAAACAACATGGATCCTTATAAGTAGCATTAGAAAAACAACACCTGAAATTTCTAAGCATATAATGTGGAAAGAAAGCTTAGAAAATTTGACACTCACATGACATATTAAAGGCAAGAGAGACGGAGGAAAGCAGCGTATAACTTACCTAGCGAGTTTATGTAAATGGTTGGCAGAACAAGGTTATGGAGAGATAACGTAGACAGAATTTACTAAGACCTATAAAGGACAGGCAATTGCGGAGAGCTATGATTGCACTACGTCCTGAAGGGACACAGCACAGAGAAGAATTTTATGTCACACTGAGAAATGGGAGTACCATAAAGCTTCCATACTATTTTAAAAGTCAATACATTCGCACATTTACAAAATAGGCAAAGCACACAATATCAAATACTTATCTATTGGGAAGAGATGTTAGAATAATCCAAAGCATATATTAAAAGCAAACCGCCTACGTGCAGATAGAAAATAAATTGAATAGCTATACAAAAACAGAAAGGAGTGTGAAACAAGGATGCACCTTTTCCCGAAATTCATTTAACTTCTACAGCAACCCTATCCTAAGGGAACTGGAGAGCCTCCCAGGATTTAGTGTCGGTGGGCGTAATCTTAACAATATAAGATAGGCAGATGACACTATGTTTATGGCCGATTTCTTGTACCCATACAAAAAGTATGTATGATTCACTATTACTACTACTACTACTATTACTACTATTATTATTATCAGATATCACATCATTAATGATACAATCCAGTCGTAAAGTTTTGATACAAGTGTTATAATTTACTGGTACGTCTATTATGATTTGACAAGTCTGAGACATTATTTCAAAGCCGCTGAAGGTCTATCTTGAAATAATACCTCACACTCGCCAAATCACAATAAATATACCCTCAAATTATAACACATGAATCAAAAGTTAATAATAATAATAATAATAAGAAGAAGAAGAAGAAGAAGAAGAAGAAGAAGAAGAAGAAGAATTAGAAGAAGATAAATTTGTACACACAATTACTACTGACACATAACGAAAAGCTTTATCTATGTAAAATGTGTGTGATCTTAAAATACACAAAGAGAGATCAATCAAAGCTCATGGTCCAGACATCATGATCAAAGACAACAAAAAAGAGTGTGCTTTCTTATTGACATGACAGACCCTGCCGATTGTAATGTATCTTTAAAGATCTTCAAAAGAAACTATCAAAATATAAGGATCTTGAAGTGGAAATTTCAAAAATGAGGTACATGAGGACATCAACAGTTCCACTTGTAGGTGGAACCCTCGGTTTGATTGGAAAAGGTTCTAATAGACTCATTGAATGGATCCCTGGTAGCCTATGCCTTAAAGAAATACAAAAATTTTACTCACAAGTACAGCCCGCAACTTACGAAGGGCTGTATTTATGTAAAATATGTGTGATCTTTTTGCTTTTGTTTTTTTCCAAATGCTCAGTGGAAAATGGCATGATCCCATCACTGATTTTAGGTCTCTGGTTGGGACCCGGAAAGAAATGAGTATACACCAGAAATCAATAGAAATATAATAATAATAATAATAATAATAATAATAATAATAATAATAATAATGAAATCAT